TCGCTCGTAAAAATCATTTATTTCTCTTCATAACTATGATATTCGGAATCAGACATTTGTTACTCCATGGATTGATCACGAATTACTCCGTCAGTCATGTTTCGTCGTTCTTCTTCTTCTTTAAAACCTGTTTCTGGAGGTTCTTCATTTATGTCATCAGACACTATTGTCATTGATGAAAGATGCCATTTTTCTATTGGTAATGCCTGTAATCGAAGCACTGTTCGATATTGCATAATAAGCCAAAGACAACCAAGTAAAAAACAAATACCAACAAGAAGTGGATATGCTAATCTATCTGGTTTAATCCATTCAGCTATATATAAAACTGCTGATGATGTTAAACTCGCACCAAGATTTCCAAGCATACTTAATAATGTAATATATGTTCCACCAATACATGGATCACTTATACGTGCATAAAATCCAACACGTGATACAAGCATTAAATAAATTAGAGATTCATTTAATATAAAAAGACAAGTAAGTATTGGATAAAAATACCACTGAAATAATATATATGGTGTAAAATAAATATATATTCCAATTAGAATACACATAAAAAGACGAGGTAAATATGCACGATTATACCAAGTAAGTGGACGGTTTGTTTGTGTTATACAAAATGGTATAAGAATTTTAACAAAAATTAAAGGAATACCAAGTAAACCAAGTGATTCTTTTGGAACACCATATCTAAAATTATCAAATGAAATAATAAATCAGTTAAATATTTACTTTTTTATTTTTGTTTTTACTTTTACTTTTTTAAAACTAAATTTGTCATTGCATAAGTTGCTGCATATCCAATTGGACTTAAAAGAAATAATAATGCTAATTGTCGGACACATTTTTTTTTAAATAATTGAAATATTGATAAATAAGTTTGACATAAGTTTAAATGATTATCGTTGTGTTTTTCTTTTTTAAATAAAGCTATACAAAAAGAAACTAATAGAAAAGCAATAGCCCAAAATCGTATAAATTGATCTATTGTAAATAATCCATATGATTTTTCTGACAATGAAAATGGTTTTCGAATAAATCGATTAGTAAAACTTGCTGATTCAAATGTCATTAAAATAGTGAAACCAATAAAACGTCCAAAAGTTTGTCCAACTGTTTGACATGTTGATGCCCATTGAAGATTATAATTTGTTAAAAGTGTTAATGCCCAACTATCAACACATATATCTTGACTAGCAAGAAGAAAATAAACCAAGAAAAAAATACATGTTAACGTATTTATTTTTAATTCTTCAATTAATGTTGTTAAATAAAATGAAAGTATAAAAAGTATTATTCCTAATAAAAATTGTATTGGTATAAGCCAAGTTTTTCTTCGACCAAAACGTGAAATATATACAGCATCAATTATTGGTGCCCATGCTAGTTTTAAACTAAATGGATAAAAAACAAAATTAAATGTACCTTGTTCTTGCCATTTAGCACCACGTGAATCCAAATATAGAGGAATAGCTAAGATAAAACCAATAATAACTCCTTGAAGAATATAAAGTATAAGTAGAAGTAATATACTTTTTAATGGTACTGTTTTTGTTTTCATAGTTTCAGACTAAAAAATAACATGGCATTTTTTTTCTTTTATCGTATAAATCAAAGTGATGTAAGCAAGAGAACAAACAAAAAAAATGGTTTGAATAAATGCATGTTTTTGTTTGATTACAGTCACTGTACAATATCGATAAACATGAATAATAATGTATTGAAGTGCAAAAACAAAATTGCACTACTTGTAAATAATGTTCGAAATGTGTATTCAATGGAAACCATTGATAATTAATATGCGCAATTTCATAATCGGACTAAATTAATAAAGCAGAACAATTCACAAATAATTATTTTTCAGCATTTTTCCATTGACTTCAAATGAAGTTCATTTAGACAAAATAATAAAATCATCGTTTGTTGTTAACTTGAGCTTTCTAATGCTTTGATTTAACTTTTTCTTTCCTTTCTTAGGATAACATATGTTATTATAAAACAGCTGTTGCAATTCAATAGTTGTCGCTAAAATCCGATGTTAAAAAAAATCTTTTTTTAGAAGACAATTCTGACAGAAGTTTTCGTTATCTCTTGATAAATATGTCATAAAAATATAAATAAAAATAATTAACAGTGATAATATAAATAGATAAAAGACTACACTAACTCGTTGCTATGTTTTACCAGCGTAATTGATATTGGAGGTGTGTGCATATGCCCTTTATTGCATCAGATGCTATTTTGTCTTTTACTTTTATTGGTTCTTAAATAAAAACGTAGCTGTTTTATTGACGCAATTGATAAATAAATGTTTGTATAAAATAAGCTCGATAAACTGAGCAATGTGCACATATTAGTTGTTAGTTATTGCTGCACGTTAATCACATTAGCTAATATAAGGGGGTGTGGTCAAAATCTAATGAAACGTAGTTGTACGCATGATACTCAAAGCTAATTGTTTATTTTGTTTGAGTACTAACTTAAAATAAAAGTCATTTGTATGATATGATGTACACTAAGCAAATATTGAGACACAAATTATTTGATAATATTATTATCTCGGAACGACGTCATTGATTTGCGTCATATCACATTCTAACTAATCAATGATATTTTTTGAATATATCACTATTAAACAATAGTAGCAACCCAGAATAGATGGTTATTCCAGACTAGTTTTTTGTTTTGCTAACATTGATCTAAAAACCAAGAGCTTTTTGAAAAATTCTTCCGGTATTCAAACAAGAGTTTTTAGCAAGTAAGTGCTGGAAAACTAGGATTTTCTCTATGAAAAACACTGTTTTACTAAAGTAAAATACCGATTTTAATTTAGACATTGGTTTTTTACTTAAAAATCGAGGTTTCCAGGTACGAAAATAAATAAAAAAGGCTGCTAAATTTTTGCAAAAAGTTTTGAAAAACTCATGACCTTTCATTTTTGGGAGACATTACTTGAGAACGTGACGTTATTACTTAGGGCAATCCGAAAGTAGTGGCAGAGGTTTTTAATTCCTTATAAAAAGGTTTAAAAAATTTTCTCTTTATATAGTCAGATAGTAAAAACAATGCTCTATTTTTCTGCGCTATTATATCATTCACCAACTAATACCATAATAATAAAATTTCAATAAGACCTACTTAATTATTATGTATGACTATTAAATTACGTAGTTCATATTTATGGGTAGCATTTTAACATTACTTTAACTTTGGTTTTTTTAAAAGTCAAAGTGCTCTTCCTATTCATATTTTCTTTGATATATACTCTGTTCTCGGTTTTTTCTTTGTTCTTTTACTCATTTTTCTTTATTTTTTTTCACGTCTCTTTCAATGCCTAACAGTCTACATGTATATAAATATATAAAGACGCATGTCTTGTTTGCATCTGTGGTTTATTATCTTGTTCTCAAGAAAGTTGAAAACATAAAGTTTCGTAAAACCTTAACACTGTTTATTTCTATTTTAGATGAATAAGAAAAATTTCGTTTCTATTCAGGTCGAGACGAAAGTAACAAAAACGCGTTCGGAACGTGCGAACATGTTCCGAGTTATTTATTCTCAACCCGTTTGTGGTTTTTATTTTAAATACTTTTCCAGTGTTCGCTCGTTCCAAATGCGTTTTCATTCCATTCGTCTCGATCTGGATCTGTTCTGTTTGTGATGATGAAGCTTCTTCTCTTAGGACATTTGAAAGATAGTTTAAATGGTTTCGTGAAAGATGATCAGAGATTGAAGACGAAGTACGAGCTATTTGTTTCTGTATTTCGTTATTGTTCTGCCATCACTACTTTTTGTATACAATAATATATATAGACAGCTATGTATTGGAGGAGACAAGAAAAAATCAAGAAGACAATACATATCGAAGACAATATGAGATAATTTAATCGTCAAACATCATAACAAAATAGGCCTTATTGAAATTTTATTACTTAGAGCGATCCAAAAGTGATGGTGAAGACAATTTAATTCCTTATAAAGGGCTTACAGAAACTTTTCTCTATATGGGCTGATAGTAAAAGCGACCTTCTATTTTTCTGCGCTATTACATTATTCTTCGAGTAATATCATGATAATAAAATTTCGATAAAACGTATTTTTCTATCATATATGACAATTATAGTAGTCTATTTAGTGGATATTTTTTGAATAACTTTTGATAGAAACAAGTTAGAGAGCTGTAGTTTTTATCGTTCAAAAGAGGAAATGAAGATGTATCGAATTGTATATTATAGGTTTTTTTGATATGACTCTTTTAAGATTTTCAATAGACCTCTTTGAAAGCAAATCTACTTCGTGAGGTGTTCACAGTGAATTCTTAATTGTCAGGTGTGTATTCAAGTTGCCAATGAAAGATCTACAAAGCTGCACAAGGTTCAGATGTTTAGAATCAATCATTCAGAAGTTATAGGTATTCTACTCGAAGCTCTAAGTGATTTTTCTGACAATTTTTGTAAAAAAAAATGTGTTTTTTGCTGTTTCCTTTTTGATAAGAAACCATTTTTCCATACTTAGAAAATTGATTAAACGAACTTCAGACAACATACTAGGGAAACGTATAATATATAGTTCGATGCATCGTCATCTCTTCTTTCGAATGATGAAAATCGCAGCTCTCTTATTTGTTTCTGTCAAAAGTTATTCAAAAAAAAATCTACTAAATAAACATTAGTATAACCGTCACATATGATAGAAAAACATGTTTTATCGAAATTTTATTATTATGATATTACTTGAAGAATGATATAATAACATACAAAAATAGAGCATCATTTCTAGTGCCAGCCCATATAGAGAAAATGTTTCTTTAAGCTTTTTATAAGAAATTAAGGTACCTCCGCCACTACCTTTGGATTGTCGTAAGTATAATGATATTAGTTGAAGAATGATATAATAAGTAGCAAAAACAACAGAAAGAAGAATCCAATCATGTAAAGATTTGTTTTTTTTTGTTTGATCGATAATTATGATGATTTAATAAACATCTGTTTTAGATGTTTCTTCGTTTAGGTTTAAAACCAAATAATCTTCAACGTTTTACCTCATTTTATCGTTCTCGTTCAGAACATGTAATCGGTATTCGTCGTGAAGATCAATCACCATGGGAACGTCGTGCTCCATTAGCACCTGAACAGGTTCGAACACTTATAAAAGATCATAATATAAAAGTTCTTATTCAACCATCAAATCGTCGTGCTTTTCCACTATCATCATATGCTGATGCAGGTGCTATTGTTACAGAAGATTTAAGTGAAGCATCAGCTATAATTGGTGTTAAACAAGTTCCTGTCGATTTATTATTACCAAATAAAACTTATATCATGTTTTCACATACACATAAAGCACAAGTCGATAATATGCCATTATTAGATGCATGTTTAGAAAAAAAAATAACAATCATTGATTATGAAAAACTTGTTGATGACAGAGGTGTTCGTTTAGTTGCATTTGGAAAATATGCTGGATTTGTTGGAATGATTAATATTTTACATGGACTTGGCTTAAGATTTCTTGCACTTGGTCATCATACACCATTTATCGTAACTATAGACAAAAGAAATAGGTTCTTTTTTTTGTTCTATCAAAACAAAAAAATTTCTTTTTATGTTTAGCATATTGCTCCAGTACATAATTATCGAAATGGCGAACAAGCTCGAATGGCCATTCGAGATGCTGGATATGAAATTGCACTAGGTCTTATGCCAAAATCTATTGGACCAATAATTATTGTTTTTACTGGAGCAGGAAATGTTTCTCAAGTAAAGAAAAAAAAAACCTTTCAAAATATAAAATGATGGAAAAAAGTTTAGCAACAATGTATTTTTGATTTTTTTCTACAATGTTAAGTACATAGCTCAAATCCAGATAGGAATTTTAATAGTCAATTGAGTTTTCTATCGAATACATTCTATACTAGATGAACTAGGATGGTAAAGTTTCTACAAAAAAACATGAACACGACAGTTTTCAAGTTCTCGAAGACTTTATCAGAGTTAGTTTTTAGCAATACCAGTTTAAAGTGCACAAAATTCTGTATGAAATGAGATATCGCTAAATTTTCGATGATCTTCCCTAAAAAAGTCTCACAAAAAAATCGAAAAACAGTATTTTTTAGTCGATTTTCTGATAGATTTCGATTTTTATGAGACTTTTAACTTTTTAAGAAAAAGGCTGTAGAAAATGCGGCGACTGCTCATTTTGTTCAAAATTTTGTGATCTTTAAAGAGAACTTCTCTCCCTTTCCAAGGTTTCTGAAGAACAGCTCATCAGAAATATTTAAAACTTTCAAAGTAGATAGATCTCAATGAGTAGAGCGAAAGTTATCATAGACTTCAGATTCCCAAATACTTCCTTGTAGGAAATATCTGGCTAGCAAAGGTTAAAAATCGCCCCGCTCTCTCAGACACAATACGTCCACCACAGCTAGAAATTTTTTTTTTTACAGATAATTGATGCTGTTTGAAATGCCTATTATTTTTTTCTGACTTCGTTTTACCTCCTTCCATTCGAAAAAAAAGATCAAAATATTGAGCATAACTCCAAAAATGTATGTTGTTTGTTTTGTAAAATTTGCCAAAAAACAACGGTGAAATATTTTTCATAAGAAAAAAAAATAATCCGGCACACCAAACAGTGTCCAGTATCTGTGAAAAAAAAAGCTTCAACTCGATCGAACATAGTATGTTCGCGAAACAGGATGATTCTGTACTTTTTTCGTGTAAAAATTGATTTCGAGAAAAATGAAAAAAAAGGTTTTCCTGTACGTATCAGGACTTTTTTTAATGAGAAACAATCATTATTGACAGAGGACACTTCAAAATTATATTAGCGATTAAAAATCAAAAAAATTTTGATTTGCGGAACAGAAAAGAGGGATTCCTTAAAATGCCATTGACAAAGAAATAGCTGACAAGGGAATGTATCTAAGTGTCGAATCATTCATGAGTCAGGACTGTGTGCACCATGTAGGTTCTTATTAACTATGAATACTCTGAAGAGAGTTTCGGCTAATAGATCATCACTACTGATATTCTGTATTTTTTTAGCAGAATGCCATGCTCCCCTCAGAAAGATTAAGTTTCAAATTTTGGTTTGAAAATATGCCTAGGTACACACCTTAATGAGAATAATTTATTGTAAAAGTTTTAGATCTTTTAGTTGCTTCTATCTTAAGATATGGTCGTAGTAACAGCATGTTTTTTTACACCGCTCATATACAACAGCAAATTCAGATTTGAAAACTACCATGTTCGATTTTTTGTAGAAACCCATTAGCTATTTAAATCATTAACTGAAGTTGAGCTAATTGCTGAACATGATAGAAAAGAAAAACTCAAAAATATATTGTTGTTAAACTTTTTTTCTTTCACCTTAGATTAACCTATTTAATTTAGGGTGCACAAGAAGTTTTTCGTGAATTCCCAGTTGAATATGTCAATGCAGAAGCTCTTCCAGAAATTGCACAACATGGTGGTAAATAATTTTGTTTTATAGTACCAATAACAAACTAATTCGTTTATTCTTTTATAAAGCGACGAATAAAATTTATGGATGTGTTATTCTGCGTGAGGATCATTTAGTTAATAAACAAACAGGACAATATGATGAAGAAGAATATGTAAAATATCCTGAAAGATATACATCAGCATTTAACACCAAAGTTAGTTATTTGAATAAACATTTGAATTTAAAATTTTCTTTCTAGTAAATAGAAATTTTATTCAGAATGTTACATCTAAGGGTAAAAAAAGATTATGTACAACGTAAAAAAAATCTGCTGCTAAATATTCATGTGATTTGCCTGCCATTTATTTATTTATTTATTTATTTATTTTAATATAAATTTACTTTTGATTGTATAAATTTCTATAGATTGCTCCTTATGCAACATGTATCATTAATGGAATTTATTGGGAATCATCTCAACCAAAATTACTTCGTGTTACTGATGCAAATCAATTAATAGCTGTACCACCAGAATGGACACCAAATGCTTCAAAGCCTGGTTGTCCAACATTACCTCATCGACTTTTAGCTATTTGCGATATAACAGCTGATAAATATGGTAGCATTGAATTAGTTCAACATACAACAACTATTGATCATCCATTTTTATTGTATAATCCTAAAACAGATACATCTGTGGAAAAGTAATTCAAAAAAATATCATTGAAATAAATGAAAAAAAAATTTGTTTTAAATTAGTTTTCATGGTCCTGGTATATTAGTTTGTTCAATTGATAATATGCCAACACAATTACCATTAGAAGCAACTTCTTTTTTTGGTTCAAGATTACTTCCATTAATACCACAAATACTTCAATTAGATGCTACAAAAAATTTTGAAACACAAACTAATATACCTCGTGTTATTCGAGATGTAAGTTAATTAAAGAAATTTCATACAGAAGAAAAATTCTCTAGAAAGAAAATTCAAATATACGACAAAAAAAAAACATGAACAACTATCAAATAGAAAATCATTATTTAGTACATCGAACATTGATTTTGTTTATTCTACGAAGTCATTAGGATGAGAATGATTATTGAAAGTTACATATTTGTAACTCATTTATTCTGAGAAAAGAAACTAATAATGTTACGTCAGCTTATCAGTAAACCTCCTCAGCTGTCTCCTTTCAATTTCGATGGAAATCCTAAAAGGATTTGAGTTTCTATTGATATTTGAATATGTATTCACTTGCTTTAGGATTGAAAGACTTAAGATTGTTATATATCATTGTTTTCAATCAAGACCATATCAGTATCTATAAAAAGTTCTGTTCATGAACTTTAATTAATATGATTTGACTTTTACAAAAAAAATGATTCTTTTTTGTTTTATTGTATTTAGGCAGTTATAACAGCAAATGGTCAATTGACACCAAAGTATGCTTATATATCAAAACTACGAGAACAGCGCAGGTACATAAAATACAAACTGCAATCTGATCTGACCACCTATCTCTCTCTCTCTCTCTACATATATATATATATATTTATTATTTTCTTTTTTCAGATTAAAAGAAATGGAATCATCAAGTGGAAAACGTATACTTATATTAGGTGCTGGTTTTGTTAGTGGTCCTGTTGTTGAATATTTAACACGTAATGAAAAAGTTCACGTAACAGTTGCTAGTGCAATCCAACAAGAAGCTGATCGTCTTGCATCAACAAATTCTCGAACAACACCAATATTACTTGATGTAACACGTCGTAAAAATGAACTTGATAAATTAATAAAAGATCATGATTGTATTATTTCACTTTTACCATTTAAATTTCATCCTGATATTGCTTCACTATGTATAAAACATCGTCGTCATATGGTAACAGCAAGTTATGTATCACCAGAAATGAAAGCTTTACATGATGAGTATGTAAAAAAAATTCAATTCGATATGATTTAAGTATTTTATTTTAGAGCTCTTGCAGCTGATGTAACCTTAATGAATGAAGTTGGATTAGATCCGGGTATTGATCATATGCTTGCAATGGAATTATTTGAAATTATTCGTGATCATGGTGGGCGTATAGATTCTTATATATCGTATTGTGGTGGTTTACCAGCTCCGGAATATTCTGATAATCCTTTAAGATATAAATTTAGGTTAAAAGAAAATTTGTATTTTGGCTTTATAAAATTGATTTCTTTTTTTTTTTACATTCTAGTTGGTCACCTCGTGGTGTTCTTACAGCTTTACTTAATCCAGCCAAATATTTAATGAAAAACAAAGTAAAGAAAAGAAACATATAGGCCATTTCAGACAAAACAGGACATATCTATCTTTCATTTGACTTTAAGTCTTTAGGGTGTGGGTGTGGGTACCCACATCCTCTTGAACTAGCGATTCTTCATTTGCTTGATCAGTCAAATTGCTCTTGATGTAATCATTTAACCAAAAGTCACATGGTGAATTTGGTGAATGTGTAAAAATTTCGATATTATCTATTTGATAAAATTTTAAACACCAGAATCAAAACTTTTAGTCAATTCTAAGTAGCTATCGAAGTCTGATTTTCATCATAAAATAGAGCAACGTTGAAGAAGTCTATCTGTGTAACATTCATTTGGTCCGAAAAAGTTGTTCATGGATACTTGTAAGTAAACATCTTTTTCATTATCCATATCTACAACTTTTCGTAGCAATCTAGGCTCAAATTACACCGAAATGTAGTCCGAAGAGTGTTGTATTCCATATATAATTGTTTGATTATTTCATCCTTATCGTGGACTCATGGTTCTAGAGAAGTGTTTTGAAATCTGGAAATTTCATGGAAAATATGGTTCTCTTTGAGCTACATTTTGGTGTAATGTGAGCCTAGGTTACTACGAAAAGTTGTAGAAATGGATAACGAAAAAGATGTCTACTTAAAAATATCCATGAAGAACTTCTTCAAACCTTCAATAGCTATAGACGATCGAAAATTATTCAGAAAAAATAGTGGTTGGCATTTTAATAAAAATCCGACAATAATACCTTTCAGATATTTAGAAAACTCGTCTGTCTCTTGTAAAAAAATCTTGCTTTTTAGGAAAGACTTAATCTGCATATACCCAGTCAAACGTCGATGTCTAAAACACGCGTGTTCACGTGAGAAAATTTAAGAATCTTGCGTGTGCTTGCAGTATATTTTTGTTTCCCTCAAAGTTTGCGCAGGAACACACAAGTTTCTTTTAAACTATTTGAATCTTGTGTGTAAACGCAAGGCAATAGTACTTACAGAGACATGTATGTCAGGATTACATGCATGCGAACACAAGTTTTTAAATTTTTAAATGAAACATGTAAAAACATGCGGAATTTCGCTTTTGCATTTGCTCGAAAGTCATATACTTGCAAATCTATGTAAGAAATATGTTTCGCATGTGAACACATCAAAATTGTATGCGTGTGCATGTATCGTGGGTATAATGTTGTCAAATTTTTTGCGTGCAGATGCATGAAAAACTATAATTTCAGACACATGCAATATGTGACAAAAATAGTTCTTTATTTTTTATGCCCGTGGAGTTCAGAAAAATGTATAATTGGAGAACTTTGGATCACGTCGGTTTGTGTGTGTTTGTTGTAGCCTTTTCCAGCATATCTGCATGCAGCTGTGTACATTTTATTGTTTTAAAAAAACCGTATTTTGAGTTAAATGCATTTCAGCTATGTATAAGATCCTTGACTTTGACTTTATAATTGAATTTATAAAAACTGTAAAATTGTATCATGACGATTGCACAATATTAATAAAATGAAAAATAAAACTTGTTACTGTTTAAGCATAAGCTAGATTATCATTTACATCACGCCAACTATAGAATAAAAATTTGTTTGGTACGACATAATCAAAAGCACATTAGAACATGTATCAGTGTTTTCAATACGAAGAATGTGAGGGTTTTTTCGATAACAATAGTTTGAATCAAAAGCACCCAGGCATTTTCTTCTTAAATAACCATTAAAATATCTCTAATAATTTGTTTTCCATTTTTGGTGAATAAAACACAAGAAATATTTGTTGTTTGTTTTTTACCAACGTATGAATCAGATAGAGTAGTGTCAACTGAAGCAGATTTAAAGACTTGTGGTTCATTTAACTGGTCGAATGTGATGAAATGAGGAGAAATATTATCAGATGAATGATATACTTTTACAGCAGCTGGTTTTAAAAACAGTTAACAATCGAGGAATGAATATCTTATAGAAAAAAATTTAGAGATGGAAATCTTTTACTTTTTTGAGTAGAGGATTTTATAACAGTGACCGAATAGATCTCGATGAAACGTTGATTCATCGACAAACAATGAGGATTTATGTAATCCATTTAAATTTCTTTCAATTTCTTTTCCAAACCATTGTGAATCATGTACAGCCGATGTGAGTGACCCTATGTGAACTGAAGATAATACCGATCGTAAACAGAATAATCTTCATTCTCATCCAAACTACTCTCATGATTAAAAGTTGAATAATTATGTAATTGTCCATAATCAAATCGAGTTTGCGCAACATCTGTCATACTATTTATTGCGTGTTCATTATGCCGAATACAATATAAAAATAGAAAATATATCTTATCATAAATTATTTTTTGTATTCTTGAGGAAACATTTTAGGTGGAAATAATGTTCATTTTTAGGTTTAAAAAAATGATGAGCATAAATTTGCTCGTGAGTCGATACAAATATGATAAAATACCAGCATGCTAACTCATATGTTGTAGAAAGACTTCACCGGTTTATTCCTTTATAAGTTTGTAGAAAACAATACCTACACGTTCACGCTTGCAAAGATTTAAATCGCGTGAGCCTGCATGTCCTATCAGGCAGAAATGACACTTTTTTCTTGAATATCCATGAATATTGATCAGTGATCGAGTGGTAAGAATGTTTGTTTGTCATGATAATATACCATATTCGAATCCATATGTAAGTATTCTCTTCCGAATATCTCATGCATGTACATGTCTGCATAATAAATATCCCATGTTTGTGATTGCCAACACACGAATATAGTTTACCCTGTGACGCGTTCACACATGCATGCAAACTTATAGCAATGCATGCATGTGCACGGACCCACTATCATGTGTTTACATGCGTTTTTTTAAAAATCATGTTTGACTGGATAGTGGACATTTTTGAAAAGCCCGAAAAGTGTCCACTATTGAAAGATTATACTATATTTAGTTTTGCCTCAATACAAAATTTTTCTAAATTAAAATGGATGAAACAAAAGTCAATGTACTTTTTTTGCATCACATCACTAACGCTACCTTTTTTTCACTGATAACTCCTTTGAACAAAAATGTCTAGTGTTGGTATTTTTTTCTCAGAATATCTTGAGTAACTTAACATACATGTGATATATAAAAATTAGCTCTAGAATTTCTATTTTATTTAAATTAGATTGTTCAACTTGAAGGTAATGGTGGTGTCATGGAAAATGGATGTACAACAGCGAATTTTCTTCCAGGTTTTAATCTTGAATGTTATCCAAATCGAGATAGTACAAAATATATTGAGTCATTAAATCTCAATACAGTACATACAATACTTCGAGGAACTTTAAGATATAAAGTAAAATACAAAGAAAAAAACAAAATATAAAAAAATTAAATTGATTATTTTATTTAAGGGTTTTTGTCAAAATGCACTTGGATTAATTCGTCTTGGTTTACTTAGTGATAAACCACATCCAAGTTTACAATCTACTGATAATCTTACATGGAAAGAATTTATGTGCGATTTATTAAATTTAAAACGTGACACATCAATAAATACACTTCGATCTACTATTCTTCAACGATTACAGAATGAAAGTCAATTAGAAACTATTGATCAGTAAAAGAAAAAAAAATCTTTTCTTTTTTCTTCTCTATTTAAAAAAATTCTTTTAAATATTTTTTAATTAGACTTGGTCTTCTCTCTGAAGACATTCTTGTTGAAAAATGTTCAAATCCACTTGATACGTTAAGTACTTGGTTAGCTAAACGTTTAGCTTTTGAACCCAATGAACGTGATGTTGTTATTCTTCATCATCAAGTTGGTGTTACATGGCCATCAGGATCAAAAGAAAAAAGGGAATTAAAAACAATAGAAATGGTTGTTTATGGTGACCGAAAATATTCTGCTATGGCAAAAACAGTTGGTTTACCAACTGCTATCGCTGCTCGAATGCTTGTTGACAGTATGTTAAAATTTTATTTGTTGTTTTTTTTTGAGTAATCATATTTAAATGAAATTTTTCTCTTTAGATGAAATTTCTGATCGTGGTATTGTTGTACCAGTTAAACGTACAATTTATCAGCCAATTTTACATGAACTTAAACGTGAAGGAATTTCATGGACCGAAAAAACAATTAAACAATAATTAATTAGTTTTTAAGAATTTTAATTGTAATATTATTTTTAGTGTGTTTTGATTTTAATTATACTATAGGGATTGGACTAAATAGAATACCCTAATGACATTTTTGAAATCGATTAACATAATAGACAGATGGTATAGAATATAACATATTTCTCACACTTTACAATCAATTATTATATAAGATATTGTCTGCAAATATCCCTGATCTATAATTATAGCTGATAGTGGGAGAATTCTTGAACATTTATTGTATGCCAAACAACCCTATTGACATTGAATGGAATATGACAGAGAAAGAAGAGATTGAGACGGCAGTTAGAGCGCAATTATATATATATACACATACATATAAATAAAGGATGTTACTATATTCAATAGAACATCGACAAAAGAAAGAATGGGAAGTGATGATGAATTCTTGTCTTGATATGGTTTGAGTGTGCTTCTTCTCATGTCAGCAATTTATGTATATATATTGCAGAAGAAATGAATAAATTAGTAATGCCACATTCTTCTCTTTCTATGTTACAAAAAAAACAGTAACAGTGTTCATCAGTCGCCGGAAGCTTCTCATATGTTCAAAGATGGGTGAATGATCATTGTTGATGTTCGCTTGCCATTATTACAGAGAAGTTCGAATGACAGACACAAATGGTGATAATCATCGAGAGATCTTTCTCTCTTGTACACGTTTATCTTCTTCTTTTCTTCATCTTTATATATGTCTTGTGTAGTAGGGTTCGTGTTAGAAGAAAATACAAGTTATCATCCTTGATTATTCCATCAGAAAAAGCTAAGCTATGTGACCTTCTTCAGAGTTTTTTTCCGTTGACAAAGAAGAAGAAGAAGAAGAAGAAGAAGACGAAGAAAAAAACGCGATGCTAGTTTTTCTTCCCTTGACGGATATTTATCTAGTACTCTTGTTGTTATTACTATTCTAACTCAACTATTATGAATGAATAGTACATCGTTTCGATTGTAGTAAATATAATTTTATATAGATATATCAAATTAATTATGGTGAGTACATCAGAATATTCTGATAAATTTTAATTTGATAATAGAGTTGATAAGTATAAATTAAAGATAAGTAAAATTATCGAGATAAGAATATTTCGGACAAGCTAGACGACGAATGATATGTATATATATATATATATATATACATATCGTTCCATTATTTTTAGACTTCAATTGTGAAAATGAATGCAATCAATCGACTTGATATTCTTTTATCCGATATCCTTAAAACTGAAGCATCGACATCAACTAATGGAATTAGTCAAGGAGCTTCTATACAACCATTATCCAAATTGACATTTTCCGAATGTAAGTCGTATCCTTCATCAGTATTCTCTTCAGCTATTATAACAACAGTGCCATTACCACCACATCGTAATTCTTCATCGTTGAAACATCATCATAGTGATCAATCTGACAAACAAAAACAATATAAGCCACTTTTAAATTCTTCAACATTAGATGATTTATTTCGTGCATTAACACTTGAATGTGAACAATATTTAGCTGCTACTACATCATCTTATCAAAATAAAACATCGAATCAAATGATTATTCAACCCCCTTCATCAAAAATACAAGCATCTGTTGAATCCAATGATGATGATTATGAAAATTTACATACATTAAAAACTTCACAATCAATAACAAAGACTTATTCTCCTCTGAAAACAAGTATTGAAGTTATAAGTCCAATAAAACGACATGTTGTTTCAATAACAATAACATCAAGAGTATCTTCACCTCCTACAATAAAACCTTCCTGTAATGCAACAACATCAACTATAGTACAAGCAACAAATCATCATTCAAGTGATGATGATGCTATTAATATATCGTCATCAAGTACAAATCGTAAACGTCGTCGTCGTGCTCGTAAACAAATTGTATCATCATCGATAACTCGATCAAGTTCATCATCAAATGAACGAAAAAAAATCATTACAGATAAAAAACCAATAATTTCAAAACGTTCATGTAGTACAGATCCTCGTTATCAACGTAATAAAACTTCTTATGATAATGATTTTATATCATGTTCATCATCTCAAAAACAACGTACAAAACGTCCATATCGACGTGATATTTCATTACAACATTCATTAACAAATTCAGAACGTTATTATGAAAATCATTCATCACCATTATCTGTTTTATTAACATCAACGAAAATAACAAGTGATGATTTTTTTGATAATACACATCAACGACAACAAAGACGTTCACGTTTTGAATCTGTTAATCATAAACCATCGACATTAATCGATCGTATGCATCAACAATTATATCAACCATCAACAATACGAAATCATCATAATAATAATAATAATAATAATAATAGCAACAAAAAGAACACTAACATTCCTACACATCGAACACCATCATATCCAGTTTATTGATATGAAAAATACTCAGAGAAAAAAAAACAAAAATTAGTTTGTTTTTACAAATATAAAATGATATATTTCAATGCGTTATTTCTTTTATTCCATTTATCCATTCCATAATTTGGATGTTATCATTAATTCTCAACGATATTAATATTATACAACTGCTAATTATCTCCTCTCTCTATATTAAAAGGATGAAAAGCATGCACTAGACACAAGTGGCATATCGTTTATTTATATTACTGGAAAAAAGACAAATCAAAGTTCTTTTAATAAATTTGTCATATGTAGGATATCTAATATATATCTCAGAGATTTCTTATGTTATAAATGTTGAATGAAGTGAATGAAATTAATGTATGATTAGATTAGTAAATTAACTCAAATTGACATTTTTGTCAGTTTCATTCTTTTTTTTTTCTTTGTCGTTTTTTTTTTTTGAAGTGTAATTATTATTAATCATGTTAATATAAGTTAAGATTTACAATAAATAGACGAATGTTTGATTTAGCTTTGAAATGTCACTTTTTGAATAATCAAAATTCTGTATTCAAGCGTGCTGACAATGTACAAAAACGAATACAACTTTAGTAAATCATCACAAATACATATTGTTTACAATAGTCCGATGATTCCTAGTGTAATCAAAAAGTAAAGAATATCTACATCTTAATTTTATTTATTATACAAAAACAAAGAATGATTTTGCATAATAATTTAGTTTGAATTCAGAAATTAAAAACAAATGACATTTTCATTTGTTATGTGACAAATATTTTAAAGACCATGGAATAAGAAATATATCTATGAATTTTATAAGTCATAGAATTTCAGTTCTTAAAATCTGTTTTTTATATTATCTATTATTGTTTCTAAATACTATCTCATGGTTATTTTTTTATAAATGCCATCAGCTAGTTGAATTCTTACAAATGACAAATAAATTAATCATTGTAAAATTTTACTGACGTAGAAGTATTTAAAGTATATTTAAAAGGGCGTAGAATATGATGCATCTTACAATGACAATTTGATATTTAGATTTTAAGGTTATTTTTCTTTTGTATGAAAGACAATGGATAATGAATAGTTAGTATTTTTACAATCCAATCAACATAAATGTGCCCTTTGATACATAAACGACAAGTTATTCTATGTATACTTCATTAATATTTGTAAAAGACAATACGTCTACACAATGCGAACTAGTGGCAGAACCGGAAAAAATTTGTAGGAAGGAACTGAAAAGCTGATATTTTCTTTGCCTATAATATAGAATCGTTTTCTTTGTAATTACAGCTTAAAGATTTCTAGAAGAGGAGAGAGGGTTGAGCTCCCTTTCAGAGATGGAATCGGTCGGTTTGAAATCCACACCGATACTAAACTGACGAGTTGTCGTAGTATTCCATCTGTAGATAGTGATATTTGACATAGTCAACTTTCAACAAAGTTTTATTACATATCTTCTGCGAGATATTAAGAGCAAAAAATAAATAAAACATACTGGCAGATCAGTATTAGTTCCATCTCCGCTCTCTCCATGCATTCCTTGGATCCACCAGTAATGTAAACATCCGTTCTTTTTTATTTCATTGATAGGTGAAAATTATCACTTTAGATTTCGTCCTACGTTAGTATTATTATTAAGAATACTTTGTACAGAACCTAAGAAAGTTTTCTTAACCTATGTTATCATGTAACACTGTATCATCTGTTGATATATGAAATTACTACTATCAAGTGTTGACGTACGAAATTGCATATGTGAATAAACACAACTCTCATATTATCATGTCTAAATGTAAATCGATAATAATTTTTGAGCTCTTTCATATGAATTTGAATTTGTCAGTACTTGTTGTTTCAATATAACGTTGTATGGTAATCAAGTAATTGGCGACAAAAATACATTTCTATGAATCTATAACAATGTAGGTGAAATAATTAATCAAAAAATCAATAACTTTTCTTTTCATCCAAATAAATCGTAGATCATTTTCTAACATTTCATGTCTACTTGAGACTTAAAATCTGTCCTTTAATATTATGACTTACTTTCTTATTTATTACACTTGTGAATGGATATACTCTTTTTTTTTTGTTAGATAGGATAATTTATGTCTCATTCATTAGTCTTCTTGCAGAATAATATTATATATATATATATGGAGCAAATAGTTATCCTTTTCAAGGGATATATGTCAGTTCGTCATTGATGACATTTGTAACAAATCATCAATCCAATCACAAGGTTTGTATATATATGGCGACTGTTGTTTTTCTAATCTTATTCTACAGCCTTTGACTTAATATTGCGTTATAGTAGATAGAAAGATGATGCTGGCAGTTATCACGCAACTAGAATAATCCATTTTTTTGTTTCAGACTGTAAGAGATGAATGTATGATTGATGATATTTCCTGTTTCTCTATTAGCAGCATATATATATATATATACGTAACAAGAACAACGCACATCAGTATATTCTCGTCGTCTGCACTGTTTGACACATTCATCTCAGGACTACAATGCGCCTTTTTTTATTCTCAATTGTCACAATATGTATTGCAGGTTTGTTTTAATTTAAATTTTTTTATACAAATTTCTACTCGAAGAATCTAAACAGGTAGCAGAACTCAAGAAATTGCCATTGGTACTGAATATTTACGAGCTAATTCCAATGATTCCCTTCCATCTGAATCAGGTTGGTCGATAATTTCGATCAAAAAGATTTTAAAAAATTTATATATATATATCAATTATAAAATAAGATTTATATCTTCACACATCTCTTATGTATTCTTTACATTCTAGGAATTAATGCACAAGATCAAGAACCCTTACCAACTCTAGTTGTTACTGACGATGCAACAAGTGAAATTTTCAAAATAAATGTAATTAAATAATAAAAACATTTGTTTTTTTCAGTAACAAATGATACATTGAAGGATCATGATCATGATCATGATCATCACCATCACCATCATCATGATCATGATCATAGTTCATGTAAATAATTCAAATTTTTCTATGTATTTCATTTCGTATTTATTGTTTCTATTGAATAGACCGTCACGATGATCATCATAAAAAATATGATCATGAACATCACTCTCATCATGCACATGATACAACAATTACTGTTGATCTTCATAATATTTTCGATTTAATCAAACAACAATTACATGAAACCGAAGAACATATTATTGCTTCTATTAAACAAAGTCAATCTGCAAGTTCAGTACCAGTCGAAAAATCCTATCGTACAGCTGATCGTTAAAATAAAGAAATAACTCTTCAATTACATATATATATTGCAACAAAAAGAAAACATTTTAAACTCCTATACGATTTCTAATATGCTTTAAATTCATTTTCGCTTGAGTTAGTTCATATTTTAATGTTCGACTTTCATTTTCAGCTTGATTTCGTAACTAAAATAATAATTAATGTATAGACAAAAAAAAAATGTGTTTTTTGTTTTACAATAATTACTTTAATATCTGTTGTTAATCGTAATTTTGCTAGATCAATTTGATGACGAATATCTAAAATTTCCTGTTGAATACGTGTAATTTGTAAAATGAAATCCTTACAAAAAGAAAAAGAAAATTTTATTTTAATAAATTAAATAAGATTTTTTTGTCTTACTCCAACTTCTGCTGATTTCAAATGACCTATTTGTGCTGAATGTTTAGATTCTTTGCCCATAATATCTAGGATTTTTTTATTTATTTGATCTAATTCAGTTTTTAATTGTGTTGATTGTTCTTCTAATGATGAAGTTTTTTTCTTTTCTTGAAAATATTTTTTTTTCCACATATCACGAGCTGAAAATAAAAATTAATTGATTTATTCATATAAATAATAAAATCAATCGAACCTTCTCGTCGTCGTAATGTTATTCGACTATGCATATATTTTAAATTTTTGATAACTTCACTTTGAATTTTTTCAAGATCAACACGACTAGTTTGTAATTCTTGAAGACGAGTACGAAGATGTTCAGCTAGAAAAATAGTTCTTTGTTTGAAATCGAGTTAAATCATTTTAAATTTAAGAAAAAAAAAATAGAAACTTTATAAGTACAGAAATATTTACTAAGCAATAAAAATTGAATTAGAAAGTACATGTTGTATGCACTATAGTAGGACAAAATGAGTGAAACATAAAAATTCCTATGATGAACAATTGGTTTAAGACGAAAAATTGTTAACGAAATTATAAAAGATAAAACAGAATTATATTTAATTGTAAATGAGAAATCTTTGACAAGAAGTTTTTCTGTTCAATATAATTAAAATAGATACTATTTGAAATATGTTAAAAGTCGGATGGTAGAGTCTGTTGGATTCAAAATCTTCGGACCCAGTTAACAGAAAAGTTCCATACCTGGATTTGGGACCAATCCGACGAGTTCTACCTGCAGTGTTTTTTCAGCATGAGGGCCGAGCAGGTGATGTTTCTTCGAAGACTGAGTTAGTCTTTCTGGAATTTATGGTTACTGTACCACGTACTATGTGTCTGCCCTTCCAAAAACAGGTGTTCGTTCTTCTCAAATTCCAAATTAATTCATTTTAACTAATTCCGTGTTTTATTATTTTACTTCGCAAAAAAAAACAAATCCTATCCTGAAAAGGTTAATTTACTTTGTAATTTCGACTATTAAGACAAAAAAACAAAAGTAGTATAGTAACACATACGATCTTCATGTTTTTGAGTTAATTTTCGTTGTCGTTGTTCTTCTAATTCTTTGGCTTTTCGTTTGTCTTCTTCTAATTGTCGACGTCGTTTAGTTTCTGTTTCTTGTTTTTCTAATTCATGTCTTTGAATTAGATTAGAAAAAAAAAGAACTTGTTTAATTTCAATCAAAATCAATTATTTATATTTATAAGCAAGACGAACACACAAATACTTATACAAATACATTTATTCGATACATTGATATATTCCATTACTTACATATCATCATCACTATCTGGTGTTGCTAATGGTAAAATCTCATCTGCAGAATGACGTATTTTAGTAACTGTTGTACTTCGTATATTTTCATCATTAATGTTATTAGATTCGTCAGTTTTTGAATCAGATAATATATTCGATTGAATTTTTCTTTCAGTTTTTTGTGATAATGATGATGATGAATTCGAATGTGTACTTTCTGTATCTTGTTTTTTTATTGTTCTAGTTTCTGTTCGAGACGAATTTGAATCAACATCTGATGTTGATTCAATCGATGATGATAGAGATAAAATTTGACTAGGAAAATATAAAAAAGATGAGAGAAGAAAGAAAGTAAAATTTTTACAGACAACACACACACACACATCTAAATGAACAACATGCATATATATTTTTGGTTTTTTTGGAATTTTTCAGATAACATATATCTGTGAGAAATATTCAATATAAATACGTGAGATTACAATATAAAACAAACCTATCGGACAATTCATCATCATTAATATCTATATTTTCCTTATTTTTTATTGATTCTTTATTGAATATATTAGTTTTTGATGATGAAATTCGAGAATCATTTTTCAGAACACTGAAGACATATTAAAATGATTTTTTAATAAAAAATAATAAGGAAATAAATATTTACTTTTGTTGACCTTTGCGATATGCTTGACGATCTTTAAAACCACGAAATGATGCTTGAATTTTTGTAGCAGCTTGTGTCTGTTGTTCTAAACGACGACGCTCAGTTTCGGTTTTTTCTTGACGACGACGTTTTTCTTCTTCTTCTTCTTTTTCACGTCCTGAATTAAGTTTTTTTTCTTCAACAGCTCGACGTATTCGTTGTAGTTCAGCTTGACGTCGACGAAGACGTTCTTGTTCTTCTTGTAATTTAAGTAATTCCCTATATAATAATTATGTTTTCTTCTAATTACATGCAAATAGAAAAGAGGTTTAAGACAAAAATAGCACAATATTTTGTTATTTTACAAAGGGAAAAAACACACACATGTTTCTACTTTTATACCTCGTTGTAATATTCGTCGTAACGGATAGGCTAGAAAAAAAAAAGTACTTCGATTATTTTTGTTTGGTTTCATTTGAAAAACTTCAAACAAATTTTTAACGTATACTTTTTTTTCTTCACATACCTTGGTGATGATTCCCCTAAATCGAAAAAAAAACCAAACAAGACTTTGATTTAATATAGAATAAATTTTCAATTGTAATTACCTGAATCATTTCGTGTAAACTTTGTCCAATCTCGTCTGCCTGATGATGGAAGATAAGATGTTAAATCATATACATTCGGTTTTGATAAATTCTTTGTCTCATCATGTAATGGTTTACGAGGGTCATAATTAGAAAATCTCGATGATGATTGACCATGATCATCAAGATTCAAACGATATTGATGACGATTACCAAATAAATAATTAGCAGAAGACATTGCTGGAGAATCAGCCGGTGTATATGTATAATCTTCATGACGACCTTCGAGAAGATAAATCTAATTAAATCAATAATTTATATAATTCCTTTTTGTTTTTTATTTTAAAAAAGAAAACTTGTACCTCTGATGCATAGGTCTAAAAGAAATAAATTATCTTATCGTTTTCTTATATGTAGAAAAAAAAATAAACATTCTAACCAGTGGTGGACGATAATGTTTAACTTTTAATTCATTTTCTTGTGTTTGTTTAACTCTTGTTAAACATCTTCCAACAGATCGAAGAAAAATAAAATCTCGTGGAAAGTCATTTTCTATTCTACATAATCGTTCAATTTGTTCACGTAAATTCTGTAATTTCATATCTGGTGGTACTCTAAATTTTGAAACAAAAAAATCAAAAACAAATATTCAAATATCATTACCGAACAAAACCAACTGATATAGCATCATCCATAGCTGCATTTTGTGCTAAGTGTTGAACATTTTTCCATACAGATTTTGGAATAATATACACATGTAAATCAACCAACTGTTTGCATGAAAAAGAAAATGTCATATACAAACAAAAAAATAAAAAAACAAAAGAAATTTATAAAAAATACTTGTGCAGAATCTGGACGATTGGTAGCAATAAAACCATTTCGTGTTCGATTATTTGTTAAAGTTTTTGATAACATATTGAATTGTTCGTTTTCGAAAGATGTTTGAAGCATTGCTAGTTTTTTCTACTACTATCCAATTGTGATCACTCAATTATAAACGAACAATGATTAATATTAGTTTGCGTGATGAGTGCCTTCAATCCTTTTCTCTTTTTCAAAGTTTTGTTGTTATTGAATTGTAAATGAATGCGATGTTTCTTTTCTTCTTGACAACTTAATGTATTGACATACATACATATACGAATAAATTTTTTTTTCTATTTTCTATTTAAAGCAATTTGAATACCTTCAATATGAATGACATTTTTTCATTTGCATTTTTTCTTCTTCATCTGTTTGTACATTTTTTTTAATATTTTGTTTAAACTTATCATAAAAATTGTTATTCTATTTAATCAATCGGATAAGAATTTTGCACTTAAAGCAACAAAAAAAAAACAACAAAAATTGCACTTCAAGGGATATTTGTCCCTTGAAAGATGAATAAAACAGACTGATTTATTTGTTGATTGATATCACAAAGAGTAGGCGAATATATATCTGTGTGATAAGCGATTGTAAGTGGATTGGGGGCGAATGAAAGCAGAAAAAAAAGAATATAATCTTATTGGTACTGCTACATATATATATATGCATGTAAATACAAAACGCTATTCATATTATTTGTCCTTCGATTGTATCAAGCAACAATTGCGAGATATCCAATGGCAAACAGTCGATTACTTTGTAAGATTAGTTATTTTTTATTTTGAAAAAACTATTAATTTTTGTCATTTAGTATATTTAACAATGATGATGGTGATGTTTCTTTTGATTGAACAATCATATGAAGTTTATATTGATTGTCAAGCACGTTGTATGTTAGCAATGCGACATGAACGTAATAGAGATACCTTACAGATGTGTCGTGATGAATGTGAATTACTTGAAATACTTGATCAACAAGATCCAAGAGAAGGGAAATATTACAAATATAGATCGTTTAAATGAATAATTTTGATTTTTGAAACAGAGCAAAAAAAAAACATAATTTTTTTTGTTTTTATTCTGTTCTTGTAGAATTTCTAGGGTATAAAGGTATCGAGCTGACTTTTTTTGTACTTTATTCTTATAAATTTATTATTATCTAATAAAACGTTGATAACAACCACGCTATAACCTTTTACAATTAACATATGTAATTAGAAAGAATGATTGCATATA